TGTGGAAATATTGAAATATACTATAATGACGCTGAGATTAATATCTCTGCAGAGGGCAGAGGGGGGTAAAAAGTAGATCAGGAAATAATGCAAGAAGGTGGGAAGAAGGTCATCTTTCTAGGGAATTTTAGAACAGGAGCAACACTGAAGAAGAAGCCATTGTGTTACTGAAAAGAAAAAAAACGTTTGGTGATGGGATAGAAATTTAGAAAAACCAGAGGGAATGAAGAGGATGACCTTCATGCTGGAGGCAAAAACAGTTCAAATCTCTTTGGGGAAATATTTTAAAGATGAAGGTTGTCCAGGGGCATGAGAAAGGTTTCTGGTTCTGTTCACAGCAGAACTGTGGATTCTAAAGTCTTAAGGGGATTTGCAGGGTGGAATGACAGCAGTTTATCTGGAGGTAGGGGAGGGAGAGGGTTAGTGCACAGATAAGAATGGGAACTCAGAAGACCGTGGAGGAAGAAGAGTATGTTTCTATGGCAACAATTATCAGAGAACAGAATTAAGAACCCAGTTAGCAATAGGCTGTTTCTCAAACTGGGTCACAAGGGACACAAGGACAATGACAAGATAGGTATTGGAAGCCACAGAATAAATCCAGCTGATGTTTCTGCGTTGTCAACTTTGCATGAAGATCTGGGGCTGGAGTTCTGGCATAGTCTGGTAGAGGAGAAGGGTCATAAATAGTTTCTCTTTTCAAAAAATGGACATATACAAGGGAATAAGAAATTCAAGTGAATTCTTATAAAACATGAAACCAAGAGATTTCTTATTTGCAAATATTGGCCCTCCTGTTACACCTCATAGAGATTGTTCCACATCAAAACATAAAAAGTGTTTCTGCTCTTTTTTTTTCTCCTTATTTCAATAGCTTTAGGTGGTACAAATGGTTTTTGGTTACGTGGTTGCATTGCATAGTGGCAATGAAATCTGGACTTTAAGTGTGCCCATCACTTTCGCCTTTGCACATTGTATCCAATAGGTGATTTTTCATCTCTCCACCCCATCCTCCCTCCCCATTCTGAGTTCCCTGTGTCCTTTATAGCATTCTCTATACATTTTGCAGAGTCTTAGGTTAGCTCTCACTTACAAATGAGAACATGCTGTGTTTGGTTTTCTGTTCCTGAGTTAGTTCACTTAGGATGATGGTCTCCAATTCCATCCAAGTTGCTGCAACAGACTTTATTTCATTCTTTTCAATAGCTGAATAGTAATCCATAATGTATGTATACCATATTTTCATTATTCACTAATGAATATGGGCATTTAAGTTGATTTCACATCATTGTAATTGTGAATTGTTCTGCAATGAACATGCGAGTGCGGGTGTCTTTTTTTGTTTGACAACCTCCGTTCCTTTAGGTAGATACTAGGAGTGGTATTGCTGGATCAAATAGCAGATCTACTTTTAGTTGTTTGAGAAATCTCCATACCAATTTCCATAGAGGTTATACTAGTTTACACTCCCACCAACAGTGTATAAGTATTCTCTTTTCTCTGCATCCACACCAGCATCTGTTTTGTTTTTTGTTGTTTTTTTTTAAATAATGGTCATTCTGACTGGTGCAAAGTGATATTTCATTGTGGTTTTGATTTGCATTTCCCTGATGATTAGTGATGTTGAGCATTTTTTCATGTTTGTTGGTCATTTGTATATCTTCCTTTAAGAGATGTTTGTTCATGCCATTTGCCCATTTTTTAATGGGGTTATTTGCTTTTTTCTTGCTGATTTGTTTGAGTCCTTTGTAGATTCTGGATATTAGTCCTTTGTCAGATGTATAGTTTGTGAATATCTTTTCTCATTCTGTAGGTTGCCTATTTGCTCTGTCGATTATTTCTTTCACTACACAGAAGCTTTTTAGTTTAATTAAGCCCCACTTATTTATTTTTGTTTTTGTTGCATTTGCTTTTGGGGTTTTAGTCATAAATTTTTTGTCTAGGCCAATGTCCATAAGAATTTTTTCTAGGTTTTCTTCTAAGATCTTTATAGTTTCAAGTCTGATATTTGAGTCTTTAATCCATCTTGAGTTGACTTCTGTATGTGGAGAGAGAGAGGGATCAAGTTTCATTTTTCTGCATGTAGCTATCCAATTTTCCCAGCACCATTTGTTGAATAGGGTGTCCTTTTCTCAGGGTAAGTTTTTGTCTGCTTTGTCAAAGATCAGTTGGTGGTAGGTATTTGGATTTATTTTTATATTGTCTGTTCTGTTCCATTGGTCCATGTATCTGCTCATTTATATGGCCACAAAGTATTCAGTGAGTCAGTTTAGTAGTCCTTAGGAAGGATAGCACAGATTTACCCTCCTCAGCCACTGGGGCTACTTTGAGGGAAACACTGAGACGCGCAGCAGTGAAATTTGCACTCTTACTGTTGCAAATCAGCACAGTGATATGATGGAGTGAAAATCCAGATGGAGAGAAAAAAGTGGAGGAAGAGAGGCCATTAGGAAGGCGGCCTCCCTGGGTGCTTACCCCGGACCCTGGGGCAGAAGGAGTAATTCGGTTGTTATTAATGTATATTTTAATGAATAGAAATAAGTGGTTTTGGTTTTACTGATGTCTCTGTGGGTTCTTGAAGTGTTTACCATGCAATGGAATATAGACAAAACACAAAACTGGTCTCAGATTCAAAACATTTAACTCTGATGGCCATTTTAGACATGAGAGTAGTGTTATTTGCACTTCTAATCCTCCATTAGCCTTAAGATTTACCAAATAATTTTAAGATGACAAAAACCTAACAATGAGTCTCCAAGTTTCATAATGGAAACTTATTCCTGAGCAAGCAGAGATAAAGACAATTAATAAAAGTCAGGGTTTTTTGGTTTTTATTTTTATTTATTTATTTATTTATTTATTTATTGAGTTGGAGTCTTACTCTTGTCGCCCAGACTGTAGTGCAGTGGCATGCCCCCAGCCACCCCAGCCTCGACCTTCTGGCTCCTGCAATCCTTCTACCTCAGCCTTCCAAGTAACCGGAATTACAACCGTGCGCAACCACGGCCCGCTAATTTTTGATTTATTGTAGAGACGAGGTCTCGCCAAGTTGCCCGGGCGGGTCTCAAACCTGCAGACTCAGGCAATCCACTCACCTCAGCCTTCCAAAGTGCTGCGATTATAGGCTGAGCCACCGAGCCTGGCCTGTTTTTATTTTTTTTAATAGACTGGGTCTCACTATGTTGTTCAGGCTTGTCTTGAACTCCTGAGCTCAAGTGATCCTCTTGCCTCAGCCTCCCCAGCAGCTAGGATATAGGTGCATGCTACTATGCTCAGTTAAAGGTTAGCTTTTCTGAATAAGCAGTAAGACATCTGTCTAAATGTTGTTTTCATAACTATTTTCAAGACCAGAAAATTCCTTAATTGTATTAAGCTAGTTTGCAATAATTATATGATTGTGGCTATGCTGTTAACCCACAATAGATGTCTCTCTGACAAAAAAAAAAAGAGAAAAGTCTATACAAGAAATGAGAATAACTTCAACGGAAAACTAGTCGTACCCACATTAGGAAAATACACTCTTCAGTGTGTTTAGACACCTTACCTTGCCATTGATATCAGACAAGACAAGGGAAGGATGGTGCTGACAGGCCTAAAGTTGTGCTCAGCCCTGGCCTTGGATATGGAAACTATGAATGGGTTTTAACGTCAATACAGCCTTATTGTCTGCACTTTAAGGCATTTTTCTTGACTGAATTTATAAATTTAGGAGTATTGTACAGTTTCTATAGTGTGTTCATTATATGTTTCATGTTGTCAAAGGCAAAATGGCAACAGATGCAGTTAAAAGTTCTAGTTGGTTTTTATTTGCAATTCTAGAGTTGAATGATGCCTCCTTCTTTAAAACAGAATGCGTGTTGCGATAAGCTGAGCAGAGCAAGTTGGCTTTGGGCAGAAGGGGATTGACAAAGGTAGAAACAAGGAGCAGATTGGTCGTCTAAAAGTAGCTTCCCCCTTAAAAGTTGAAGCAGAGGGGACTTTCTTATGACATCTGCTAAAACTGGCATGCTTGGGGATTTGGCAATGATCTCTTTCTTTCCTGACTTCTAGAAAGGTCAGATAAACAGCTTAGCTTCTACTCAGTGGCCTGGAACTTTAGCACAAGTGACTCCAATCTGGTCTGGCCTGTTAGGCCTACTGCTGGAGCTCAATCCAAACCAGTGGCCTCTTAGAAATGTTATTTCACAATATTTATATATTTATATTTTGGTTCACATTTTTAAAAAATTTACTTGAGTTGCTTTTTTTAATATATTACATAGTCATATGACTCAAAACCCAATAAATTTTGCAAAATTAATTAGAAGTTCTCCCTCCTACTCCTTCTCTCCTCCCTCATTTCTTTTCTCTCTCCAGAGACAATTAATATTATCAGATTATTTTGTATCTTGCCAGAACTCTTTTGGGTATTTACAAGCAAATATGTGTATAGGGATTTTTTTTTTTTCAGATAGTAGCACACAATACACACTGTTATACATCTTGCTTTTATGTTATTTTAACATCACATCATAGAATTCTTTATATCAGAACTTAGTGTTCTCATTCTTTCTTTATGACTACAAAGTATTCATTTGTGTGAATGCATCATACTTTGTTTAATCATTCCTTTAAAATGACCATTTAAGATAATCTCAGTCTCCAGCCATTTCAAAAAATGATATAATGTAAAACCTTGCCTATACATTATTTCTAAGATGTATTGGTATGTTTAAATAACTTATTGGGTGTTGAACTTTTAAGAGTGTATTCTTTTTAATATTGAAAAAAATGTGTCAATTATTTTGTCATTTCATTGTGCAAGTATAGATATAGCAGGAGAAGGAGGGAAGAATGTTCCAGAAGCCTGGCAACTCTGGTTTTTGAAAAGTCCCCAAGTGTCCTGACAATATTGTGTATTCTGTTTCCCTGATATATTTGGGGATCAGTTATGCCCTGCCCAACTCTCACCGATGTACATTTCTGCTTTAAGAAAAATGACAGGTGTTTGTGTTTTATAGGAGTTGATGACCATTTTTCAACTATTGCACTGGAATGGAAGCCTAAAAGCCCTTCGTGAAACAAAGTGTTCCCGACAGGTGAGATTTTTCAATCAATATTAGATTCACGTTTTATGTAAGCAGACATCTCATCACTTTCCTGAGATTTCCTTTATTTGGATTTTTTTTTTCTATTTATGCTTGGTGTTTTATTTATTAAGAGCAGAGGATATATCAGTTCAGTTCAGTTGAGTCCAGATTGACCCAATGTACACACTAAGAAGAATGTTGGCTGCACACAGGACTGCTCTAGATACCTGCAGAATGCAGAATGGAGGGACCTCAAAGACAGACAAGTTTCTAAGTCCACTGATGAACATACTCTACAATCCTCCCCTGGCTCCTGGGAATTCATGCCTTCTTACATCTTCAAGGATGCACTGCTTCTGAAACCTCCTCACTGGAGAGTGGTCAAGTTGGTTGTAGCAGGATATTTCCCGCCCCAGCAAAAGTCCCCAGAGGACATCAGAAATGATTATAAAGATTGACACACTGGCATTTGATCACTACTATTTTTTTTTTTTTTTTTTGAGTTGGAATCTTACTCTGTCATCCAGACTGGAGTGCAGTGGCCGCTCCTGGTCATCGCAGCCTCAACCTGCTGGGCTCCGGCGATCCTTCCGCCTCAGCTTTCCAAGTAGCTGGAACTACAGGCGTGCACTACCACGCCTGGCTAATTTTTGATTTATTGTGCAGATGAGGTCTCGCCAAGTTGCCCAGGCGGGTCGTGAACCCTCGGGCTCAGGCAATCCATTCACCTCAGTCTCCCAAAGCGCGGGATTACAGGCTGAGCCACCAAGCCCTCCTGATCACTACTATTTTTTGACTTAGAAATTTCTTTTTGAGTTTTCAGAGAAAGAGTCTATTTATTTGCTACTTATGAGAAGCATTCTTCTCTCCTTTTTAATACTAAATGTAAAGCTTTACCTGTATATGTAATCGGTTTCACCCTCTGTCCTCCAAGATTTATCCTTCCTATACCCACCATTAGGATTTGAAAGACATAGCTCATTTTTGAGAATCTCCTAACAAGAATTTGCATGAGGAACAAAGCCTCCCAGCCGGCAAGAGGAGGCTGGAAGTAAGGAGTTTTCCATGCACCAACACCCAAGAAGTTTCCAGCAAAGATGGAAAAGAAATGAGTAGCTGACAATGGCTTTGGTTATTTTTTTTCTTTTCCTTTGATTTTATAAAAGGCCTTTGAAATATGCTAGGTTAGTTATAAATACTTTTCCATGATTGTTTTTAATTTGTTAAGATCATAAATAACTACCCTATTTTCTTAAAAATAAAAATAAGCAATGCATCCACTCCACATGATCACATCTATAAGTGATGTGACTAGGTATTGGCAAATTGTTCACACAATAATTGATAGGCAGTAACTAAATTTTAATTATTCATAAAAGTAAGAGACAATGTACCATGAAGACATCATTATGATAATTATAATGAAAATATCTACATTGCATCATAAATTTTTAATATCCTTTCTGTAGTTATGGTGAGACAGCTGGACTGTCATCTTTCTTGTGCTGACAGCACAGTAGAAGTTTCTGTTTCTAAGTCTTGCTCTGACATGCCCTTGACTAAAAGCTTTTTTATTTCTGCAATGGGTGTGCCCAAATCCCATTGCAAGGGAGTCCCTCCATAGAGCTGTTTCCTTCTCTTCATCTTGCTGAAAGGAGATAACTCTAGGTAGGAGGGTTCAATGAATAAATAAGGTCATAGTCATACTGGTTGCTATAGGAATGCATTTTTAAAGAAAGACTTGTATTTCTAGCTGTGGCAGAACTTTACTTTGTGAACTTGATTGAGTCATTTCTGGGGGTATATTTTGACTCAACCTGGAGAAACTTACTTTGCTGAACTAGCTCAGCCCTTCGTTACCTTTTAAGTAGTGTGCCAATGGGGTTAGGTCTTGGTTTTTGAATGTCGGAGAGGTTGGGTTGTTGATAAGACCCTGACGGATGTGCGAAGCAGGAGAGACCATGTGTGCAGGTGCCTGTGCTCTCTTCACTGACACTCTGACCTTTGTTTCTTGGTCCCCAGGAAGTAATCTCCTACTATTCCCAGTATTCCCTAGACGAAAAGATGCGCAGCCACATGGCCCTGGACTGGATCATGAAGGAACGGGAGTCACCAGGGATTCTCTCTCAAGAGCTACGAATGGCCCTGAGGCAGCTGGAGGAAGCCAGGAAAGCAGGACAAGAACTCCGGTTTTACAAAGAAAAGAAAGAAATCCTGAGCTTAGCCTTGACTCAGATCTATAGTGACCCTGACACGTCCTTGCCCGGTGATGATCAGCTGAGCCTCGCGGCCCTGTGTGGCTATCACTAGTAGGGCCAGGCCCCAGGTACCTCAAGGATGGCAGAGGCTGGACTCTAACACTAGGAAACTCAGTGAAGGAGGTCCTTCCTCAAGGGCATTAGCATTTCTGGCTGCTACCCGAGAGCTGTACGAATTCTCTCCACCCATCCATTCACAGAATAGGAGAGTTGTAGGACTCTAACACGACCCAACTTTCCATGCAAACCACAATCCTGATAGTTCCACCTCAGAATGAAAGGATAGAGATAGGATTGCATAAAAAATATTTTCCAGGGCTGGCTCCAACCTCAAGCTTTTTTGACATGTGCCTTGCTAGTTTATCTATATTGTTTCAAAGAACAGGCCCAATATAGCATCCCCCAAAAGAATGGCAGCCAGAACTAGGACAAGTAGCATGATAGCAATTTTTAAAAATATTTAGAATTAAACAAATAACACAGATTTTTTTTTTTTTTTGAGACCAAGTCTTACTCTGTCATCCAGGTTGGAGTGCAGTGGCACAATCATAACTCACAGCAGCCTTGAACTCCTGGGCTCAAGCAATCCCACCTCAACCTCCTGAATAGCTGGGGCCACTGGTGCGTACCACCATGTCTGGCTAATTAAAAAAAATTTTTTTGTAGAGACAAGGTCTCACTATGTTTCCCAGACTAGTCTCAAACTCCTGGCCTCAAGCTATCCTCCTGCCTTGACCTCTCAAAGTACTGGGATTACAGGCATAAGCTACCACGCTCAAACCATGGATTGTTTTTAAAAGTACACAAGACCCGGGCAAGTTGGTGAGACCCTGTCTCCACAATTAAAAAAAATAAATTAGCCAGGCATGGTAGCATGCGCCTGTAGTTGTGGCTACTTGGAAGGCTGAGGCAGAAAGATCCCTGGAGCCCAGCAGGTCAAGGCTGTGATGACTGGGAGCGTGCCACTGCACTCCAGTCTGGGTGATAGAGTGAGATTCCAACTCAAAAAAAAAAAAAAAAAGTACACAAGGGTTAGAGGCTGTTCCTAAGCTTTGTAAGCTAAACAGTAGTTTACACTCTTCTAGGTGTGATCCAAAACTACAGTGGGAATTTTATCTGGACATCCCACCAGCAAAGATTTTGAGGTGGTAATAGTATGAAAATACTAGATAAAACTTATGTGGCTTAAAATGCCATTAGAGTAATAATTTTTAAAACCCACACTCTTCCATATATGGTGATGTTACCTAAAATAGCAGCTTCACTCTTATTCCTCAAGAAGAATTAATATTTAATTTTTACAATTCTTGCAATCAATCATGTTTTTTTTAATTTACAAATAGATAACTGGAACTAATTCGTTTTTATTTTTGCCACATCAGACATATGTGTACAGTGAAAAAAAATCAATGGCATTTTAAAAGTTAAAACATTTTGCCGGGCTCAGTGGCTCAGCCTGTAATCCCGCGCTTTGGGAGGCTGAGGTGAGTG